CCTCAATCCGTGAAGCTCTTGCACATTTTAAAAAGGAACGTGCGCGGCGCTAGGGCGCGAATCATTTTTTGAAAACGACCCGCCCTCGATCCGTGAAACTCTTGCAAATGTTGACGACGAACGTGCGGGGCGCTAAGACGAGAGCCACACTTTGAAAACGATTCGCTCTCAACCCGCGAAACTCTTGCAAAGCTTGAAAACGAATGTGCGCGGCCCGAAAGCGAAAACAACATTTTGAAAGCCACCCACCCTCAATGCGTGAAGCTCTTGCAAACTTTGAAAACAAATGTGCGCGGCGCTAAAGGGATGGCCACATGTTGAAAACAACCCCAAAGTTTGAAACGAAAGTGCGCGGCGCTAAGGCGAGAGCCACATGTTGAAAACCACCCGCCCTCCATCTGTGAAACAATGTCAACGCTTAAGCTTCAGGGTCCTAGATGGTGAGTAAGTCTCACTCGAAACGCCCAGCCCGCCCTGGAAACTGGCCCCAACGTGCGACAGGGAGAAATTATGTATAAACTAAAGAAGAGGAAGAGGAGGAGGAGGAGGAGGAGGAGGGAAGGAAGAGGAGGAGGGGGAGGAGGAGGACGGGGAGGAGGAGGAGGAGGAGGAGGAGGAGGAGAAGGAGAAGGAGGACGGGGAGGAGGAGGAGGAGGACGGGGAGGAGGAGCAGGAGGAGGAGAGGGGAGGGCCAGGGGAGGGGCGCGGCGGGCGGGGGAGCCAGAAGCGGCACCCGCGGCACGCCGCCGTGGGGGGAGGCCCTCGGCGTGCTGCCCCCGAGGGGGCGCCAGGCCCTCGGGCGGCAACGGGGGAGCACACCGCGCCGACGGGCTCCCCAAGGGCGGCGCGTCGCTGCTCCTGTTCCCTCCCGAACAGAGGGCGACGGGGACAGCGAATCTGGACAAGCCAAACCGTCCCCAACCCCACTGGGGGGAACCTCGGCCCCGCGGCCCCGCCGGCTGAAACACCGCCCTGCAGGCGGGTATGGGTGCCTTCGCTCCTCGGGCTTCGCGGCGCCCATCGCACGCTGGGAGAGCGGCCTTACCCCTCGCCATCGTTCGGACGTCCATTCCCCGTGCATGTTTCGGATTCGTGCGCTTTTCTTTCGCACGACGATCCAAGATGCTCCCCGATGGTCCCAACCGAGAAAAATACACACGTCTGAGCGACGCCAAGAACCCCGTCCCGCTGGGGGTGCGGAAGATTCCGACAATGAGGGATGAACAGCAGGCCCCGCCGACGGAGGCCGGTACGGATGCCCACCCCAGCGAAGCGCGCACACCTCGCATCAACGACAGTGTCCAGGGGGCCTGTGGCCCTGCATCGCGAGCCAGCGTCGAAATACACACCTCCGTCTCCATGCGTCACAGGGTGCCAATCAAGAACCGCCATGCCTGCGTCCGCAAGTGCTCTCTCCAGGGCCAGCGCAACACGCTCGCGACAGATTAGATCTGTGCGCTCGACCCGACAAATCGCCGTTACATGAGCGACGCCACCACGCAGAACCGCGCGTGCTCTCTGCCCAAGACAGACTCATTGAGTATACGATTCGCGATCGAGCGATCGACCCATAAGGACTTGGGGCCCTGACGTCCTTCGGCGGCGAGCCCAAAGGGGTAATGAAAGGCCACAAACGGCTTCCCAGAAGGCGCGAGGGCGTCTGAGAAGCCCCGCCGCCTTCTGAGAAGGCCTGCCCCCTGACGCCTCCCCTACGAGCCTCGCCGCCGAGCCTTCGGTGGCAACTCACGTGAGCCTCATCTTGCCGGCTCTTGCGAATCGACGCTAATCGCCGCTAATCGTCGCTGAAGACAGACTTACGGGGACACACAAGGCTCCCATGATTTGCTACCGAACGATCCGCCGACGCGATCGTGCCGCGCGCCACAGGCTGCATCTGCCGAGGAAGCGCTGATTAGAAGAAAAAATAGCAGAAACTCACGGAGGTCTGCGCTGATTTGTTTGATCGGCGCTGAACCCCCCTCCCTGGCGCGCGGAGCGCGCCAGGGCTGGCGCCAGAGGCGCCAGCAAGAGGATCCAAAAAACCGCGCGGAGCTACGAAAGTTGTATGATATGTGCTTTGTTGTTCTTCGAGCTGACGCTAGGGATATCACGAGGCGGCGACACCCGAACCCTCCCCCCCCCTACCATCGACTCTCCAGAACTGATGGGAGGCGGGGGTTCGGGTTCGAACTTCGCCACGTGGTCGCCGAATTCCGAACCCGACCCCCGCCGCCCATCCGATTGCCTGAATCGTTGATCAGCGAGGGTAGGGGTCAGATTCCGCCGCCGACCCACACCGCTGGCGCACTGAGCCCCCAAGCGCAGGGCCGAAGCGCACCGCGCTCTGGAGCGCACAGGAGCCGAAGCGGCACCGCCTCCACGGATCCATCCAGGCGAAACCGAGCACGACCGGCTACGGACGGATGCCGTGGCCGCTGCCGCCGCAGCCGCCGCCGTCGCCGCCACCGCCGCCGCTGTCGGCGTCGCAGAGTCGCCGCTGGTCTGAAAAGAGTCGGCCGCTATGATTAGGTCGGGCGTGTCCCTATACAGGCGGATTTGGGACCAAAAGAAGAAAACGAAAAAGTGCTAAAATATTCAAGAGCAGTCACAAAAAAAACGTCCCCAGACTATTGCTTGACAATTTTTGAATATTCCTCCTGTACAGAGCCACGCCCGACTTAACGCTATGGCCAGGGTGGAGGCACCCGCTGCGCAGGATTTGCCAGCGCTCGGGCGGTGCAGCATGCGGGGGCCGCAGGCCCAGCTCGGGCAGATGCTTCATAGGCGCCAGAGGGCGGTCCGCCGTATTCCAGCCTGTTGGCCCTCTGGCACGCAGCAAGGCGCGGCACGATGTGGCTGCACGGTTTCCCCCGGGGCCGCAGGCGACCCGAGACGGAGGAGCAGGAGGAGGAGGAGGAGGAGGAAGAGGAGGAGGAGGAGGAGGTGGAGGAGGGGGAGGGGGAGGGGGAGGGAGGATGAGGAGGAGGAGGAGGAGGAGGAAAGGACGGGTCGCCTAAGCCCTTGGGAGAAACCCTCCAGGCACGATGTGGCAGCTTTGGCCAAGGGCGTCGCCCACCTCCGAAACCGGCGCGGACCAGGGCTTCATCGTGGGTCCGGAGCGCACCCGAGCCGGAATTTTCGGCGGCTGCAGGCTGGCCCCTCCTACAAAAACATGCAAATTCCCACTGCTTCCCCGCGTCTTCCCTCGCATCTCCCAAGGCAGAAGGAGGAGGAACAAGAGGAGGAGGAGGAGAGAGGGAAGAGGAAGATGAGGATCAGGAGATCGGGAAGAAGAGCAGTGAGAAAAAACAGGAAAAGCGGGAGGAGGAGGCGGAGGAGGAGGGATTGAAAGGAAGACAAATTGAGAACGGCCAAGAGGGGGGGGTGATTGAGAGAGCTTCACCCAATTCGAAAGCGAAAAACAGCAACCAGGACCTAACGAAGGAAATCGGAGGCACGCGGGAACAGCACCAGGGCCACCAGGGACAGACGGGAACGGGGTCGAAGGAAGGAAATCGCAGGCACGCAGGGAAAGCACCAAGGCCACCAGGGGCGCCAAGACACCGACAGGGCCGAACGAAAGAAATCGGCAGCACGCGGAGACAGCACGCGGGATCAAGGCACAGTCAAGGGATTGGGCCGAACGAAGGGAACCGGCAGCGCGCTGCATCAGCATCGAGGCCAAGCAGAGTCGGGCACAGGGCTGAGTGAAGAAAGCCGGCGGCACAATCGGCACCAGAGCCAGGGCCAGCTCGGGACAGGGCGCCTCAGCGCGCGCCGTGGGACTCACGGCGTGGCACGAGACGCGCGGTGCACAAGCACGGCATGCCGACCGCAGCTTCACCCGCGGCATTCTCTGCTGGCCAGGGGCGCGCGCTGACCAGGCGCGCGCGCTGGCGCGGTGAGCAGAGGACAGCGGGGGCCTGCCTGCACGCACAGGGCTCGGCCTGGCCCGACCTGCGGCCGCTCGGCCGGCAAGTTGCGAGCCTGGTGTTCGTCGCCACACTGATCTGCAGGGCATGCCCCCCTGGAAATGGAACGCACCTCCGGGCCACTCTGATCCGATCGAGCGAGCGATCGACCCCCAGACCTCCGACGGCATGCTTCGTTCACAGCATAGCTCCCACGAACTGTCGACCCGCTGGTGTTTCGTCGCGCCAGTCGTGTCCTGAATAGCCCCAAGCGCTCGAAATGGGCCCCCACAAACACTCACAACTGCAAGAGAACGGGCCGCCGTGATTTGTACGCGACGTCTGGGGGTCTGGGCGCGAGGAGGCCAAAGCGGCCAAAAACATCCAAAACGTTGGATCCTCGATTCTCTCCCCAATTGAAGTAACGACGAGGCGACCCACGCTATGGAGCGAAGCGACGCCGTCGGCCCCGACCCGGCGCGGACACTGCTGCGGGCGCTTGTCCGCGGGCACGGCCGGGCGAGCTCTCAAGGGATCGCTTGGCTGCGCGGCGTGCGCCTGGTGACGCCGCCCGCCCAAGGCGGAGGCGGGCACAATCATGATCATCATCATCATCATCATCATCATCATCATCATCATCATCATCATCATCATCATCATCATCATCATCATCATCATCATCATCATCATCATCATCATCATCATCATCATCAGCATCATCATCATCATCATCATCATCATCATCATCATCATCATCATCATCATCATCATCATCATCATCATCATCATCATCATCATCATCATCATCATCATCATCATCATCATCATCATCATCATCATCATCATCATCATCATCATCATCATCATCATCATCCATCATCATCATCACATCATCCATCATCATCCTCATCATCCTCATCCTCATCCTCATCCTCATCCTCATCCTCATCATCATCATCATCATCATCATCATCACTATCATCATCACTATCATCATCATCATCATCATCATCATCATCATCATCATTATCATCATCATCATCATCATCATCATCATCATCATTACCACCACCACCACCACCGCAATCATCATCTTCATCATCATCAACATCATCATCCCCATCCGCGTCCTCATCCTCATCCTTATCACCACCACCACCCCCACAATCATCATCTTCATCATCGTCGTCATCATCATCATCACACATATCACCATCAGCAGCATCACCACCGAACTTTTCCTCGCCATCGTCATCGTCATCCAAACCATTCTCATCATCATCATCATCATCATCATCAGCAACACAGCATCGTCATCATCAGCATCAAAATCATCATTTTCACCATCATCATCAGCATCACCATAATCAGCATCAGCAACATCATCATCATCACCATCGCAATCACCGTGAGAACCACCATCGTAGTCAACAATACAACTTACTCTCGGTCCCCATGTGGGCTGGCCGACAAGACTCGGCGCCTGCTTACCCTCAAACTATCCGGGAAAATTGTGATCACTTTGTTGGCGAAATTGCTGGCACTGGCGCTGAAGCTTTGATGTTGCGCTGGTGGTTGATGAAAAACTGTTTTGCTGCGTTGTCGACAAGGCTCTTTTTGACATGCGTTGTTGGCGACGCTACGTTGGTGACAGCCGTTGTTGAAACCGCGTCGTTAATTGTGCGTCTGACGAATGTTACTGCTCAGCTCAACTGCGTTTTCTTTGACGCGCCGCATCCGTGAAAATTGCTCGTTGTCTTGGCACACTGTAAACCGTTCCGGTCGAAATTTCACGTGCGCAGCGGCAAAACGCCAAATGTATGTGATTGTCGGCCAGGCGACCCTTGGCACGATCGGTGGATATTTCAGGTTTAGTGAACACCTCAAAAAATTGTCCTCGATGGGAAAAGCACTCCGTACTGGGCAACCGCCAATGACAGCAAGCATGGCGTCATCACGACGTTTCCAAGCCGACGCGTTCCAAGACGCTCCGAAACGCCTCTGGAGCGAACTGGGAGTTCTCAGAAACCGCTTCCGAAAGAACTTCTGAGCTTAGACCTTTAGGAAACACTTACAAATGCTCTCTGGGACAAAATTCCGGTTCACACCTGCCGCAGCGTAGGAAATCCGATTCTGCTACTCGGCCACTGGAACCCTTCAGAAATAGCGGTCTGAACCAAAGAATGCAAAAACGCAATCGAAACAGCTTGGTCGAATAGTGTTACAAAAATACAGCCTTGTCTTCCCCGTCCTCCGACTGACTAATCTCTTGCAGAATAACAGATGCGAATTATGCGTGCGGAACTATGTCGTTTCGGAACTGAGAGACGGAAAAAACACAAAAGACATGTTCTGCACGTACTCGTCGACAACAACGGCCAAACTAAGGCACTCTGCTGCGATAAATACCAAAAAAATGATCGAATATAAAAAGACGCGTCTGTTTTGAATAGAAACAGAAAAGATACATTCGCGCGATTGCATTTGAACACTTACAATCACGCTGCAGTTGCGGCGCATATCAAACAGAACAAACAATTTTCCCGAGCCAACTGCAAATCCAAGATGAGTCTTTGAACAGATTGCAAAAAGAACCTAAAATATGTATCATCCCATATACACACATATGTTTTTTCCTAGCTGGACCCTGCAGCGCAGCTGTCTTCACCAAGTCGCATAAAAATTGAGAGAAACAAAAAAAAAAAAAAAAAAAAAAAAATGGAAAAGAGAAAAAGAGAGAGAGAGAGACAGAGAGAGAGAGAGAAGAGCAGAGCAAGACGGAATACGAGAGAGCGAGAGAAAGAGAGAGAGAGAGAGAGAGAAAGAGAAAAAAAGAGAAGGAGGGAAGGAGAGAGAGAGAGAGAGAAAAAAACATAAGAAAAAAAACAGAGAACAAGAGCAAAGAAACCAGGCAGCCACGAAGAGCAACACAAAAAGAGAAAGGGAGGGACGGGCCAAAAAAAAAAGAGAAGCGCACAAGCCCACGAGCACAGCACGGCGAACGCGTAGCGCGCGCGCGCCCTGCACTCCACGTGGCTGGGGTCATCATGGGAAAGCCCCGAACCAGCCGAATGCACCCAAGTGGCCCGGACGGCTGCGCGAAGCGAAATGCAACTGATTACGGAGCCCACTCCATGGAGCAGAAGCATTTTCAGTCCGCAGCGTCCGATTACTCTCATTGCTCAATGAGGAACCCTGCCGCAACTACACCGCCACGAGCCCTGGCAAAGGCGTCGGAGAAAAACAACGCTGGCCTGCAAGCACTCTGTGGCCCAGCCGTGTTCCCGGAGGCCAAAAAACAACGGGGAACGACAAAATACAAAAAGAAAACCAGGGGGAAGAAAAAAAGGGAACGAGGAAAAAACAATTCGAAACGTAGGAAAATTTTCTTTGATATTATTATTATTTTGTATTATTTTTACTTGATGTCCCTCCTTTATGTTTTGTATTTTTGGTTTTTACGACCTTAGCAAAACGTCATTATCTCACTAGTGATCATGCGCGATGCATCTGCGCTGCACACAGCGCAATCGGATCTGAACCTGCGCAGAAGGGGAGGGGCAGAAGAGGGAGGAAAAACACCCCAAAAGCATGCATCGCGTCACCAAACACCACACTCAGGAGCGAGGTCTCCAGCCCTGAATGGCCGGAATGGGTGCGACGCAAGAGGAAAGCGGGGAGCAATGTCTGTTCCCAGTCGAGGAAAGCGGCTCTGCAACGCACCAGCAGCTGGAGCCGCCGTTGACATGAAAATACAGATCTGGCGCGAATCACAAAGTCAGATGGCAAGTTGTACACCCTTGTGGCTCTATGGCTGAGTGCAACAAGTGATCTGGGCTTTGGAACGGCGGCTCAAAATGACGCCGTGGCGCCCGGGGCCACGAGCAAAAGGGAGGGAAGAGTCAAGACGGACAAAACGCGAAAAACAGGCCGGACCAGAACGCAAGACAAAGCGATGATCACGCCCAAAATGCTGATGTCTCTGCGAGGCTCAATGGCGCCAAATTCTAATGCTCCAAGGCACTGGGTTTGTAAAGAATTTCGAGAAGCAAAAGCAGAAAAGAAAACATGATATATGGCAGACGTGCGATATTCGAGGTATCACAAAACGTGAGATTTGAACAAATTCACAAATTCCACGTCGCAATACTAACGGAGGCTTTTTTTATTATTATTTTTTATATATATAATATATATATATATATATATATATTATATATATATATATATATATATAGATATGTATGAATGTGTATATATATATATTCATATATATATATTCATATATATATCATTATCACTGGACTCTAGTTTTGTTATTCCTTTAAATCTAAATTTGACAAACGCCGGGAACGTCGATTCACTACATACATTCATTGAAATCTGACTTTAAATGATTTCCATACGCCCCCTTCCATCTTCATCATTAAAATCTAGATTTACATGATTTCACGCACGTCTGTCTGAATCATTTAAATCTAGATTAAAATGATTTTCATAGACCTGACCTACCTTGACAATTCAAATCTAGATTTAAATGATTCGCATGCACCGCATCTATCTGCCATCATGTAAACCTAGATTCAAATGATTTCCATACACATCCACTGCCATATCATTTAAATCTAGATTCAAATGATTTCGCTACACTCACGCTTTGTCAATCCTCTGGAACAATGCAAGATTTACAATCAGCGAGGAGAGGGAGGAGCAGGAAGAGAGGAGAAAGACGAGAAGGAGAAAAGGGAGGCGGAAACGGAGGCAGAAACGGACGCGGAAAGCAAGGTGGACGGCGGCGCAGGCGAAGGCGGAGGCACGCGCAGAGGCGGAAGCAAGAGCGGAAACAGAAGCGGAAGCGGACGCGGCACGATTAAGCCGGGGTCGGGCGGCTGGAAATTTCGAAGGTAAGGCGGCGGAAAATCCGGGCTAAGGCGGCTCGAAAAGGGCGAAGGCGGCTCGAAGAATTCGGACTAAGGCGGCTCGAAAATTCGGGCCAACAGCAGAGCGAAGAAGGGACGGGAAAAAGAGAGAGGGGGAAGAGAAAAAAAAACACGGGGGGGGGGGGGGGGGGGGGGGGGGGGGGTGAAAAAAAAAAAAAAAAAAAAAAAAAAAAAAAAATGTGGGGCGCTCAGGCCAGCTGGTCGCACCAATCCCTTTAGCTGTTTTGGCCATGCAATAGCCACGTCGAAACTTGCACTTCGAATATAGAAAGGCATCGGTGGAGCAGCGACACTATATCGAAGTTTATCCTCAAAACTTGATATTCCACAACTTTCCGATTTCTCTCGAAAAAATTTTGCCGGTGCATTCTTGATCTTCAACGGAAGCGGCCCCAGCATTGCAATCTTTTAATGCACGACGCCATCAATTATTGCACATGCGAAGGCGGTTGGAAAGTCCGCAACATTCTGCCGAGCCGCGGGTATTTTTCAGTGAACGAACTAATTGTTATGCACAGGCGTGCTGTCCTATCTAGAATTTCGCACCCCTGCTATCTCTCACGCTCGATTTCTGCTCTTCACACACTCGATAATGTCCAGCACAGGTTTTTACCCAATTTCGGTGTCTGAACAAGAGGCCCTGGTCAAATTCTCTATTTCCCCGCTGGCTTCGCGAACGGACATCGCAAGATTGGGACTCGTTCACCGAAC